TATATACATACCTACTTAAAATCTGTATCGAAAAGTTAGACACCTTATCTATTGGTGTCTGCAAAAGCAGCTGTTCTGGTACTTACTATGCATATCCATGCACATGCAAATAAATGCAATTTAATATCTACTTACATAGTATTTTCTCATCCTATTAGATGATGAGGTAATTTGCTCACTTGCTGTGTTTACTTGCTTTGATTGTTCGTTATTTAATAGAAACAGCATAAATGCAATAAAAAGTAGCTATCAATATTAACCAAACACATTAATTCCAGGTAAAAATATGGTTCCAAAATCGACGAGCAAAAGCGAAACGATTGCAAGAAGCCGAGATAGAAAAACTAAGACTATCCGCGCGGCCCCTCCTACCGCCATCTTTCGCGCTTTTTGGCGGGGGAGGGGCGCCTCCACTATTCGCAGCGATGGCAGCTGCCTCTAGACCTCAGTTGAGCTTCCTAGGAGGTCCGCCAAGCCACCAACACGCGATAAACATGAATATACTAAATTCTCTCCAACCACATTGACGAATGGATCACGCGGCAACGCGTGAAGCAGACGATCAGCCGCCATCTTGAAACAGTGCGTTCGAAATTTAAATTGAAAGGGTCCCTATTCTCTTATAAGTGCGTTTTGTTTATTGTTGCGAATATTGAATTGGCCATTGTAATGGAATCGCTTTCGTCTCACTGTTGTTTGAGCTCCACACGTTGTGTCATGGTTTTGTATTCAGAGTTTGATGCTGTTGGTATAGAATTATTTATCAAAGAATTTATGCGGTGCGTTATTTTCACGAAAATAGGGCAGACAAATCAAGTTTTGTCGTCTATAATAAGTGTTGAGAATAGGGACCATTAGTGTTCGAGAATTAAAAGTTGAAATAGTGAATCAAGGACAACAAGAAATGTGTTCCAATTTTAAAATAAACTATTCGTTTTGTGCGCTCCTAAATGTAAGGGTATGGACACACCAATGGAATAAATAATTTGCGAAGTTTTAGATCCTAAGTCACGTTTTAATATAACATCTTTGTATTTATAAAAAATCCATTAAAATCTGTGAGTGTAACTTTTGTAGACAACCTCCTGGCTCTAACTGATGTCTACACTAAATAAAAATCTCTCTATAAGTGCAATTTCTCAAAATAAAATGGTAAATAATTTATAATCCGGATAGAAAATTGTAAATAGTTTTACTTACATTTTTAACTTAGATTACATATTAATAATAACTGAGTAATTTACGAAATGTTTTTTTTTTATGTCTGAATAGCAAGCAGTACCTATAATGATCTGCTTAATGTTTTTATGTTAATATTGTAATATCTTAGTTTTATTAAACAATTCTTTGGTCACCATTCCAAACTTCCAGCTCCAAAAAAATATCAAATCGTATGAAATCACAGTAGGCACTTTACGCTACGCTACTTTACCCTATCTATATTTTATTATCTACTAAATCCGATTTTCCACCTGTTTACATTTCCACTTTCTAGCTAAATAAAACAACTATCATTTATCAGTATTTAGTTTGTCAAATGGAATATTTTGTGTTATATAAAATTATCATTTTTAATTTTTTCTTTTTCTTTTAATAACGTTGCCCCACACTAGGATTTTCTCCTGTATTGTGGGTGCATTTACAAACATACAAGTTCACATACACATGACACCTAGACCCGGAACAATAATCTGTATCGCACAAAGAGTTGTTCCGTGCGAGAATCGAACCCATTATATGCATTTTATTTCGAATTGATACAATAAAATTATTGTCAATTTTACCTATTTCTCCTCAGATCACTAGATCAAACCGTACAGCAATGATTTGACATTATTTCTTCACTCAGCAGCTTCTTCAAACTTATTCCTTGAATATTTAATTCCTTGAAATGAGTTAGTTTCTATGTTATTTAAATACTTATCTTACCAGATACACTTCAATTTCTTTCCAAAATTCTGCCGCAAATGAACTTGTAATGTTATTATTATTTAACAAGTGAGCATTGTTAAACAAATAAAAAACAAGGCATATACTGCCAATAACAGGTCGAAATGACTCCAGCGATTTGCTTCATTTATTCACAATAATCCCAGTAAGTAGTAACTATAGTAGCGATATAACACAACAATAAATTAAATATTATTATCTATAATTTTCCTATTAAGTACCTAACGGCACTAAGCTGTAAGGGTTATGTACTTAACATTCAACTATATTATACACTGATGTGCAAATAGTAATGTAAATAATATTTAAATAAATTATTGTATACGTAAGATCAAGTACATATTATGTATTAGGTACTTAAGTATATTTCTAAAGCGTTAGATTTTTTAAAACGAATCACCGATCATAGATATTGTGGATACAACCTTTTAGAGCATTTAAATTGGAAACAAATATATAATTGGATACTCTGTTTGATGTAAAAAAAAGAATTAAAATGTGACAGTGACAGTTGCAATGTTTGACGTAATATTTGGCGCGAAACAATTTAGCTTCTTGGTATATTTTCCGATATAAATGCTCTTTTTACTACCTACTGTTAAGCCATAGTTATATCAAAATAAGTACTTGAAAAAGGTTAATTTTATCGCTTTTGTGTCATATTAATTAAATATCAAGCTTATTTATTACTTTTGTACTTACTTAAAATGGTTTGTTATGAGCAGCGTTCAATGTAAATTAAAGTGGAGTAACCATTTTAATTTTGCAAAATTGTACACTTATCATGAATTTACAAATTCATAACGTTGTTCGTAACAAAACAAAGTGATTTGAATTCTGTACAAAATATTGTAAAATCAAATAGTTTAACAGGAATAATTTGAATCTACTTTATAATTGCCTTTAATAGAATACCTATATATACATAGGAATGGACTATGGAACATTTGTAAATTATTGATTAAATTATAAATTCGTTATTAGTACAACAACGAAGTTTTATTAAAACAGTATTCAATTCAAAATAAGTCTTACTGCCAATTACATTTACTGTTTAATTTTCTTTGTCGAGTAAAATTATTCTGCTCTTATTAATGGCTACAGCAATCCTGAAGATCAGACCAATAAAAATCGATCTTATCATTATTTTATTCATCAACTTTCATATCAAAGGCCCATAATTGTACTTAAAGTTATAACTGCAATGGCTCTGTAAATATCGTTGAAAATTACCAACGTCCTGTCAGTAACCATAACTCTAAGAAGCCGTTACGAAAATAATAATGTGTCCTCACCTTTATCGACCATCGGCGATCATAAACAAAACTTTTTTTTATAAAAGCACCACAGATAAAATACTCGTCAAATCTATCACAATTTACCATAAACAAGTCGCGTTTCTATTCAGTCGATTGAAAGTCTATGAAGACATCGGCCATAAAGTTTATCATCCTTATAAGTCTTGCTATGGGGGAGAGACGCCATAACTTCCTGTCCCGCCCGCTAATTGGTGTCTCTGGTTAAAAACTGGCCAGCCATAATGAATGATAATACTTTTAAATGCACAGATTCGTATGCCGCGTCGCCTTCTGCGCCGGCTGTGCCCATTAATTTACTCATTTGTGAACTAGTTGAGGCCTCCTGTCTTTTAGCGTGGCTCTATGGTGAATACGTGAGCAAGACTTTTAATTATTTTTTTTAAATAACTGTCTCTAGAATTATTTTCTTCAGTGTCTTTAGATTAAATAAGTTTCTTATTATTTGCTTGTTGTAGGTAGGTACTCCCGATTATGGGATTTTTATTGTGTTACTAGTTACTGACATATTAATTGTCCAAAGAATCTCAGAATCAAAATCTAACTGACTTGTCTAACTTAAGAATCGAACCAACCAATACATAATTTTATTTATTTATTTACATTAAAATAGTATAACCAATTCATGAAACTAAGGCGTTATACCTTTCAAATTATTATAAAAAAACAGAGAATTTTTTTTCTTAAAAAAAAAAAAAAAAAAAAAAGTTAAAGTTAGTTCCTAAATGACAAATTGTAATAGGTTTTTTTTTATTTAACGGTGGAAAATCATCGAATGACTGCTCCCGCCTGGGTGAGGCGGGAGGGAGTGTCAGACTCTTACTGACTAAAAACCACCCCGTTTCTTCTCCTGCACGTCGAGCCGGAGCCCCGGCTTTTTTTTTTTAACCTTGCCCCACACTAGGATTTTCTCCTGTGTCGTGGGTGCGTTTACAAACATACAATATCACATACACATGACACCCAGACCCGGAACAACAATCTGTGGATCACACAAGGAGTTGTTCCGTGCGGGAATCGAACCCGCGACACGTTGCGCGGCAGCTAGTTGCCCAGCCACCGCGCCAACCGTGCAGTCATTTACCCGTTAGGTTCTCCGCGACATTGTAATAGGTATAATAGTACGTCATCGAACGTGGAATTAAATATAAGTAGGACCATTTGAACTGCTCCACTTAGCTACAACTACGTAGTCGAAATGACCCCATGAAATAACATCCCTATAATACTTCTTTACTCAACACGCAAGTGAACTTAAGTACCTACCTATTTATAAAAACTTTCAAAAATAGACACTTGCAGATCAACGTACAATAAGGCAAATTTCTTCAATAAATTAGACACTCTATCTTTATTTATTAATAAGGTTGAAAATCTATTACCTACGGGTATAACTTTATATGCTGCCATACATATCAAGTTGAGTAAATATTTATTACTGTTCCTAGCATTGTTATGTGCAATTATAGTGATACTAAGAACTGGATAATTAATGTGACAGCCATTTTGTGGATAATTAAGAAAGTAGCAGTAATAAACAGTTTGTAAATTCTTTCATAGATACCTACATGTATTGGCGTCTCTAATTAATGGCGTAGAATTTATCCTCAATTTTAATAGTCTAGGCTTTTAAATTTTACACATGCTCTCAATATTTTGGTCGTCATACTTTTCTATGTGCAAATTAACGTCAAAAGACTGCATGGTTGGCTCGGTGACTGGGCAATCGGCTGCTTGCGTGCAATGGTTTGGGTGACATATGCATGATTAAGTAAAAACGCGGGTTACTCACGTGAATATACTGAGAAAAGCTCTACTAGTTTCGAACCACAGAGGGGTTCTTCCTCATGAGCAGCGTGCGCGGTCGCGGCGACGTCGCGCAGCTCACTGAGCAGTGCAGCAGTAACCCGCGTTTTTACTTAATTTAGTATGTCTCACGATAGTTATTATAAAAGACATATGCATGTTAAATTGCATGTTTGAAAACACACTCATGACACAGAAGAAAACCCTAGTGATGGTACCAATTTTTTTTAAGTGGCGTACGAAGAATATCTTCGAAAGATCTCGTAGCCATTACGAAAGTCAAAAGTCAAAATTATTCCGAATATTTATTTATTTAAGATTTTTGAGGCATTCCCTATGTATCAGCTAAGCTTAGACGATCTAAAGAAAGATATGATTACTATATTTTCATCTAGATCGACGCGGGCAGCTACATCATACATTTTTTTTTTTGATGTGGGAAAAAACATTATTTGGCTTCTCTCGTGTTAGGTTAGGCGGGAGGGAGTGTCAGACTCTTACTGACTAAAAACTACCCCGTTTCTACTTCTGCTCTTCGAGACGGAGCCCCGGCATCCCGTTAGGTCTTCCGCAGCTACGTATCGGGCGCGCGTTGAAAGACGCGCCGTTCGCACGGGTCTGGATCATACCTGTATAGATCCAATGTAGTCTCCCTATGGACCTATTGAACTAAGAGGTAAGAAGACTATACCAAAGTCACACCCATATAAACTCAGTTGATTCTGAAAAAACCATCTCATTGAGAATTGATCGAACACGAGATCAAAGTGATCCCTAATTACATTTCATACTGCATAACGGTTGCACGCGTCAATTTGTCATAATTAATGGCAGCGGAAGCTCCGCGTACAGCCTACAACAAAACTTAAACACAAGTAATTGGCCCAAAACATGAATTAAACATGATTTACTTTTTTAATCTATCTGATCGATGGCATACCGGGGTTAACCCTTTCGTAGCTTTCGGTCCAATTTAGATTCTTCGCATATTTCCTCGCTCCGTTACTGGCTACTCGTTTGTTTGGCCACCAATGCTGTTGATTTTTATCTAGTCGGTGGAAGGGTTAGATATATTGTTGCCAGTGTCTTTATTGTTGGTTATAACGAATTTGTTTCTAATTGTAGTTTAGTTATGATTAACTCGTCGAGTACCGGTTTTGCAGACACAATTATAGAACAATAGGTTGCGGTCACCGGTGACCGCTTGGTATTTGACAGTTTAATTGTGTAAAGTCAGGATACAATTTTTTGAAGAAACCATTGAATTTACCTCCCCCCGCCCCTGTAAAGCTTTCATTGCTCTCTGTGTTATTTCCCTCCATCTTGTGCTGTTTTCGGTTTCGGTCGGGCTTTCGTAACAGAGAATGCTTTCGTGTATTTACCTAATGACACCTTTTAACGAATCTAATCATTTGATACGGACCTATTAGCGATTTACAAATTATATTGTCAGTTACTGCTGTCTTCCAACGCATAGGAACTTAGGAAGATTATGAAAGTGAAGAGAACCTAACCAGCAAAGATGCGGTCAACTCAGTACCA